ATATATATGTATATATATGGTTGGGTTCACGTGAAACCAACTGGTTTTCATGAGACTCGTAAGGCCACATTTTCATAATTGAAACTTTACAATAAAACACTGTGAATGTAACTTTAATATTGTTTTTTATTGTGAAGGTTCGGATTATTTTTACCTTCACAATTTTTTGTTGTGAATGTTCGGCTTTTTTTTACCTTCACAACGTTTTGCTGTGAAGTTTTAAGTATAAAAAAGTGGTCTTTCGGGTCTCATGAAAACAAGTTGGTCTCACGTGAACCCAACCCTATGTATGTATGTATGTATGTATGTATGTATGTATGTATGTATGTATGTATGTATGTATGTATGTATGTATGTATGTATGGGGGTTAAATCATGTGAGAACCAAAAAAAGGTTGAGAACCAATCTTAATCATTGATTGAATTTATTCTACGATTATGAAAGATAGATGGTATTTTTGTAATCTTTTTAAAAGTTGAGAATAACTATTAGATAAATAGCAAGTTGAAATAGACACTCTAGACATTTGGCATCGAACTTATAGTCAACAATGACCGTTTTCAAAATCATATTAATTACAATAAAATTTTAAAATTAAAAATATATTAAATACAATAAAAAATTTAATCAGAATTTTTTTATAAAAACAAAACAAACGTTTTATCTTCTTTAATTTGACAAGAGTCTCATTATTTTTTTACATTTTTTTAATAATACAATTTTTAAATGAAACAATAAACATGATTTAACTCGTATGTTATTTCACATCACATTTCACGTCATTTTTTGTTTCTTATCATCGTCTATGAAACGACACTACATTTTTTCACCATGTGAAACAACACTTCATCATTCACCATGTGAAACATCATGTTGCTTTACATCTCATTTCACGTCAACTTTTGTTTTATTTTGTTTTCAAATTGTGAAACAACAATTTATTGTTTAACATTCATGACATAGTGTTGTTTCACAACATGAAATAACATTTTAGTATTTCACTTTCACATCAACTTTGTCTTGTTTTTACTTGTCAAGCAACACTAATTTTATTTCACTTTAGCGATATTATTTAATTGTGGGAAATAACACTTTGGTGTTTACAGATGATGTTTTAATTACATTTTTTATATTTATTTTATCATGTAATGTTTTTATTATTTAAAATAGTATAATATATTTTTAAAAAAATGTAAGTTTTTCTATACGCTAAAAATAAGTAACGTATATGTGAGAAAATAAATGAGAGAAAATTGAATTCACAATACACTAAACTAATGAGATATAAAAGATTGGTATCAATTAATGGAAATTAAAATATCTTATTGTTACATATACAATAAAAGTCATCGTAAGCAATAAAACGTATTTTTACCAATGTTTATGAAAATACATGCTTCATTGGCATGATTACTCAAAAAGTCATTATTGATTGAGACGAATCATTTTCCATTTGAAATCATACCATTTATACTTTCAAAAATATCCCATAGCATAGCTATATGCATTTTCCAAACCAAATACACCAAAAATGCATTTTATCATCAAATAATCTCCATTTATAAGATTGATCATAAAAAAACTCACACTTACGATATATATATATATATATATATATCGAGATTTTATAAAACCGAATGTGTAAAAGATGCAGATCTATTAAGTAATTAACAACATTTGATAAATATCAAAATAAACACTTCAAGACTCTAAAATAAACATTTTTCGCATGTATAAAGTTTTCACAAATCAATTTGAATTAACTTTGCTAGGCTAGGTTAAACCTAGTTTCAGAACCCCAAACTTTAGCTTCTATTGATGAAGATTTCACCATCTTCAAGTATACGAAAATATACATCTAATAATTGCCAAAATGGTTACAACTAAAAATAATGAAATAATATCAACATAAATTGGGATAATATTCCGTCTAAAAAGTAAAAAAAAAGTAATTTTCCTCTCGATTTCAAAGACGAAACTATCCTTACTCCATTAAGAAGATGAAAATAAATAAATAATAGACACCGAGATTGAGTGCATCAGTTGTAACAGTAGAATATATTGTATTTAAAACATGCTCCCTCACTCTCTCTCTCTCTCTATACATATATATATATATATATATATACACACACACACACACATTAGAAGGGTACTCACGCAATGTGACGAGATACATCTCGATTTTAATGTTTCATTTTATTCTGTCTATGTCGATGTAATACGGTTTTATGTGGTTTTGAGAAAACGACAATGTTTTTATTTTGAATAAAATATAGATTTGAAGATATCATAAAATTTGAAAAAAAATATCGATATTAGTATCAAATTAACTATTTAACAATCTCCTTTTTTGTGTAATTTTTTTAATTCAATTTTTTATTATAATTTAATTTAGGTTTAATAACAAAGTAATTTTTTTATAGTTTAATAATATAAATTTTTATAAATATAATAATTAAGTATTCTGATATAACTTAATGATTATCCTGATTATATTTCAAAAAAATTATATTTAAAAATGAGATATTTATCATGTAAATATTTGCAGTTTGTTATACGAATTCAGATATAGAGTTTTAATAAGTTGTACTTACGTACAATTTATTTGTAATCTTAAATTTTAAGTAATATGCATCAATAAACAGTACTTCATGCATAAAAAATAATTTTTATAAGTTTTTTGTCAAATGATTTATAATATAGTGTGTGTGTGTGTGTGTATATATATATATATATATGTTATATATAGGGAAATGTCCATTTGAGAAGTAGTAAATATTTGAGAAATATAGAAATGATCCTAACCCTTCATCTAGTCAACATTTGTGGCTTTGACCGTGAAGCACCGGATAATTCTTCGCATGGGTGCGAAAGACGAAACGATAAATAAATGGCAAACGAATTCATATGTGAGCTCATGTAATTCACATATAAACTATTTAACTGATTCATATGTGAACCAACAGGTTTATATGTGAATCAGTTAATTATTTCATACATGAATCAGTTAATTAATTCATATGTGAATCGATTAATTAATTAGCTCATATGTGAATCACATGGGTTCATATATGAATCCGTTAAAATAGTTCTTATATAAATTACACGGGTTAACATATGAACATATAGTTCATATGTGAATCACACAGGTTAACATATGAACACATTTGCCGTTTATTTATAAAAGTTACGAAAATACTCCCTCTTTTATTCGCGTAACCACAACTTTTAATCAATCAAAGCCGCAATTAATAACTGAACAAATTTGATCCTGACTATATAAAGGGTTATGATCACTCATTTACTTCTCAAAAAATATATATATATATATATATATATTATCATGATATATATAATTTTCTCATGTGCATGATAATATAATATATTAAATGTAATTTATTGTTTATACTAGTTTTTTAAAATAATAAAAAATTTGGCGTTTTGCATTTAAAATACATTTATAGTGTATGAAAAAAGAATCGGTGGGTGTTTCATTCACATAATATTATTTGAAATAATAAAAAATGACAAATAAATTAGAATCTGAAATGAAAATAATTTTTTCAGGTTTGATTAATTGATATAAGATAAAATGTAATATGTTGATCGAATTGAAATTTATTTGTTTGGTTTATAAAATGTAGCTTATAAAATTGGGTAAAAATAATGAAATATGACCAAAATAATTTTCCTTTAATTTTATTTCTTAAATTATAAATCATAATAAAATTAACATTTAATATAAAAAATACGTAAATTATCATTTATTAAAACAAAAGTAATATTGTGTTATGTTCAATTAAGAAGATTAAATATCATGACAGATTAAGAAGGAAATATACATGTGTGAATAATTAAAAAAAAACCCGTTTGAAAATGAATATCTGTATACATAAAAATGATTTTTAATATTGATTCACATATGTAATTTTAAATAATTTTTTTTTGAATGTTTTCGATGATTTATACATGAATATCTACTTAACCTTATATTTTTACATTCTTATGTTATTTTAGAATGACAAACATAAATAACATAATATATGAAATTTAATTATATTTTACGATTAAACAAAATTATCCATTTCAATTCCCTCTAAGTCTTGCCAAATAAGGTTTTTCAGAACATCTTCAACAAGTCTCTAAAAAATTAAAAGACAAAATCTTTAAATAGAATTACATTTCATTGCAATAGATTCTCTCTTTTAGAGATTTTAATATTAACTATATTATTTAAATAATATATAGTTTTATCATTTCAATGTAAAATACTTTATCTATATCTATACTATATTATAAAGCATTTGACAAAAACTCTTAGAAACCATTTTTTATTTATGAAGTATTATTTGTTGATGCATATTACTTAAAAATCATGATTACAAGTAATTTTACATAAGTTCAACTTATTAAAGCTTCATTTTTAAATCCGTATAACTAACTGCAGATAAACATAATCAGATGTAGGATAAACATTCATTTCAGATATAAAAAATTTAATATAATTAAGATAATCATTGAATTCTAACAAAATATTTAATTATTATATTTATAAAAAAAATATTATTAAACCAAAAATAAATTAATTTATTATTAAATTTAAATATTATAATTTTATATTA